CAGTGGATGGAAGATCTCCACACACCTCCTTCAACACCCAGTCTCTCTGTGTCACTCTGCCTTACAAATAAATACAATAAATCTTTTTAAAAATAGGAAGTGGATCCAGATGTCAAAACTAGGTACTCTAATATGGGATGAAGGTACCTCAACCTGCCATCTTAACTGTTGGCTAAACGCCTGCCCCTCTGCTATGGTTTGACTGTGTCCCTCAAGTGTTGAAATTTAATCCCCATTGTGAGGCAGTAACAGGGTAAGAACAATCCAAGGATGGTGATGAGAGGTGGGATCTCTGGGAGGTAATTAGGATTAGGTAAGGGCATCAGAGGAGAGCCTCCATACGAATACCATTGGCCACATAAGAAGACAGAGAACAGTGGATACAGATACACTGGTGTGCTCCCCATCTCTTGCCAGGTGATGTCCTTTGCCACCTCATGCAAAGAACTTCATCAGATATGGTCTCTCGGTTTTGGACTTCCAGAGCCATGAGTCAAATAAACCTCTTTATAAAGTTACTCAGCCTCTGGTGTTTCAGACTAATACAAGCCTGAAGAATCACCGGTGGGATTTCAGAATGGTCATGAGAGTTACTGGGCATCATTAGTAGACTTAAGACAAAGGATTATCAAAAGGTGAGTAGGAATGAAGAAATGGGTGCAAGATAGGAGGAAAGAGTAAACGGAGACACACAGACAGGCAGACTTTTGTAGAACACTGCTCACTTCAAGATGTTAATTTAGCCAGGTGCTATCCACTCCACTTGGACTTTTGAGGCAGTCCAGTGAACCCAGCAAGACGGACTACGACAGAGAAGGTACAGCTGAGAGCCAGAACAGCAGCCAGTCCAACTAGGAGTGGTGATCTGGGTTGCAGAATAACAAGTATCAAGGAGTCCTGAAGAACATGGGAGAGTTAGAAAGGTAGTGTGTGCAAAGACACGGAGGCAAGAGTGTGTGTGCAGGGAGTGGACTTCCTTGGGGCTGAAGGTGGAGTATGGGGTTGAGGTGAAGTCTGTTACTCAGCAATGTTTTAGGTATTTGCTGAGGATTACCTACACGTCAGGTGCAGTTTCAGGAATGGAGATTCTGTAGGGGAAGGAACAAAGCCCCTCTTCTCAGACATAGACAGCTTTTAAGGTGGTTCAAAGACCCTAAAGCTGGAGGGGTATAGGGAAGACTGGCCAACACTTGCTCAGCAGACCTTCTGGTAGTGGGTGCTAAAGAGCCTGAACAGGGGAAAGACTGACCCCAAGGAGATGAAAAAAAAAGTCATAAATTTGCTTACCGTGGCCTTCAACTTTGTAAACCAACAAATCCAGGAATCCAGATGTTTTGTTCTGCATCTTAGCCAGAACCTGTGCTAATTTCTGAATTCAAATATCCCCCTCAAACAAGTTTCTTCCTACAGATCAAGGAGGAGGTCCAGGGATGACAGCCTTAGGGGCACAGCACAGTAAATAAAGTCTAGGTGATGATGGGTGGTGACAGCGGTTCAGCCAGGTCCTTGCACAGGTTAAGCCTCTGCCTGTGGCCCCGGCATCCCATATGGTTGCAGGTTCGTGCCCTGGATGTGCCTCTTCTGATCCAGCTCTCTGATCCGGCCTGGGAAAGCTGTAGAAGATGGCCCAAGTGCTTGGGCCCCGCACCCGCGTGGGAGACCCCAAAGAAGCTCCTGATTCCTGGCTTCAGATTAGCTCAGCTCTGGCCATTGGGGCCATTTGGGGAGTGAACCATCGGATGGAAGACATCTCTCTCTGTATCTCCCTCTGATTGTATCTCTGCCTCTCAAATCAATAAACACTAAAAAACAAACAAACAAACAAAAACCCAAAAACTCACTACATTTGGAAAAAAAAGAAGAGAGAGAAGGCTGAGAATGGGTTTGAAGATGAGTTCATGAGCAGACAGAAGGGATCCCACGAACATGGACAGGAAACTCAAAAGGCCACGTGCTTTTATGGAAATCCAAGTGATGGGTAAAGATAGGGCCGGCACTCGTCGGCTGTAAGATGCGGTAAGAATCCCTCATCCCTTATCATTTAAAACACCAAGAAACCTTAAAGACAGACTAAAAAAATTTCTGTCAACACAGAGTGAAAGTTCTCGTCGGTCACCAGGGACTATCCCACGTCTCCAGAGGGCAGATTCGTCTTCGCGGAAGCAGGCCCAGTTTCGCCGAAGCAAGTCACTCGACACCACCAAGTGCACAACGTCCAGGGTAGGGCATACTGAATTTGAGGTCCTGAGTCTGCGGGTTCTACCATGAACAACAGCGGGACCCCGGAGTGGCAAGTGCGTTTCCTCGGGCGTAATCTAGAGCAGCCACCCCTAACCGAAGGTCGCGACGTCCACATTAAGACACTGCTGAGGGGTTTTTGTCCCCCCCATGTTCTCACTGGTGGGGAAAACAACAGGGGCAGGCTTGAGGTCTCTTTCACGGTTGCATGGACGGACAGAAAACCCTTGGGATTCATCTAACGAAAAGGCGAACACAACTCCCCAGGGTATCCCAGCCCCTGGCTCTCTCAGACCTCAACGACAGATGCGCCGAAACCCGTCACTGGCGATTTGCACACCCGGTTGCGGTGCATTGTGGGGTTGGTAGTCCAGGCTGGGGCACGACTACAGGCCGACGAAGCCACAGAACTACATTTCCCAGTAAGCCCCGCGAGCTGCGTGCCGTGTGCGTGTGACACGAGACTTCCGGACGAGCCAGGGGCGGGGCCGCGGCGGAGGCAGGGGTGAGGCGTCGGCATGCAGCGCCCCGGGCCCTTCAGCACCCTCTACGGGCGGGTCCTGGCCCCGCTGCCCGGGCGGGCCGGGGGCGCGGCCTCCGGCGGAGGCGGGAATAGCTGGGGCCTCTTGGGCTCCCACGTGCAGCCGCCGGGGCGTGCACAGTCTGGGACCCGCGGCGCCACCGGCACCGCCAGCACCAGCGGCCTGGACGCCAACAACGTCTGCCCGGCCCCCTCCGCGATGTCCAAGGCCGAGGAAGCCAAGAAGCTGGCGGGTCGCGCCGCGGTGGAGAACCACGTGAGGGTGAGCAGTTCAGGGCGTCTGTCTTAAGCGTGGAGAGCTCGTGCCATTGCCTGGGCGCGGCTGGTTCCTGGCAAGGCAAGGGGCCGCGCGAGGCGGGAGAGGGCGTGCACTTTACCCGAGTTTGGGAGCCTGTTCTCCGCTCCTTCAAAGCTTGTTGGGCGTGGAATTGCCTAGGGGAGAGTCCCTTAAAAATTGAGCTTTCCGAAGACTGCTCGTCCAGCTGGAAGCGTTTGCAAAGTGGAGCGTGGCGGTGTCGGGTGTTTGGAGTGGGGACTTGGAGGCACCTGCCGCCTGGCCTCCATATCCAGCACCCTGGGCTGTCTCCAGGTCCTTGCCTCTCACTGTCCCGGGAAGCGCGCGCTCGCCGCGTTTTGGAGGGAAAGGGAGACCGAGCCGAAGGCGGAAACCAGGAACTTTAAACCTCCTCCCTTTGACAGGGCCGAGTGGACCCTTTGGAAGCTTGGCGGATCCTGTCCTTAAGGGAGGGCTGCGAAGATGGTCACCTGTCACCCCAGTGAGGACGTGGCCCCGCTTGTGTGTTAAGTGGCAGGTGTGGGGCTATCGTAGTGGAGCCTTTTAACCCATGTGGGTTTGCTGTCACCGTCCGGTTAATTATCTTAATGGTAGGGCTTTGTGTGTGGCTGAGTGGAGTATTTCTGCCCCATGGTGGAGTTTCTTTGGCCTTGTTGGCGTTCTCTCTTTTCTGTTACTTAGAAAGTGGTGTCAGGTTCCCTTTTCCTTCTGATCACAGTTTTTCACATTGGTTAATGCTTTCCTGTGCAGAAGGATTTTGCACAGTGATGTCTTCTGAGCTTCACTACAGGGACCAGTGTGATAACCTGGGGCTCAGTGTGTTTTGTAGAAGGGATGGCCAAACCAGGTCACTCCTGTTCCAGAGCCCTTCCACCTGTTCCACTGCTGACCTGTTCTACTGTGGCTTGTTGCAAGTCTGGTTAGCAGTAGAATTTTCTATGGCAGTTAACAGAGACTTTGGGCTCTGTATTTGGGATTCCATTCCTCAGCTGTAAAATTGGCACAGTAAGCTGAACATTCAAAATACCTGCATAAGTGAGTAGTTAATAGCAGGACAAATGAAGTCTTTATGGTTAGAACAGACCCATCCATTTTTTTTTCTGTTAAACTTTTTTGTTGTTGTTGTTGAGACCTATGTATTTAAAAGGCAGAGAGAGGGATATTTTCCATCTGCTGGTTTACTCTCCAAATGTCTGCAATAGCTGACCAAGATGAATCCAGGAACCAGGGACTACAACCAGGTCTTCCTTGAGGGTGGTGGGGACCCAATCACTTGAACCATCTTCCAGTACTTTCCCAAGCTATTAGCAAGGAGCTGTAACGGAAATGGAGCAGCCGGGACTCAAACCTTCCCTCGCAGGGGACGCAGGTGGTGGCTTAGCCTGCTACTGCACCACAATGCTGACCCCAACAACTCCATATCTATGTTGTCCTGTAGTGAGTGCATTCAATTTTGGAGGCACGTGTCTTCCTGACTTTTTGTTTTTCAGATTTATTTATTTGAAAGAGCTTCAGAGAGAGGGGGATGAGACAGACAGACAGACGGACAGACATAGCTTCCATCCGCTGGTTCATTCCCTAGATGGCCAGGGCTGAGCTAGGTAGGAGCCAGGAGCTTCATCCAGGTCTCCCACGTGGGTGGTAGGAGCCCAAACACTTGGACCTTCCTCCGCTGCTTTTCACAGGCCATTAGCAGGGAGCTGGATCAGAAGTGGAACAGCTGGGACTCAAACTAGTTCCAGATATGGCTTTACCTGCTGTGCCACAATGCTGCCCGCCCCGACTTTTCTTTTACAGTTCAGTGTTTCGTTAAATAACAGCGTGCAAGTCCACACTGCAGGCCTGAGACCCCACACACTAGATTCAGGCCGGATCATTCCATGAAGTTACCAGGTGGTCGTAGGAGATCTCCATTAGCCTTTGGAGGGCACCTGTTACCATCCCATTTGTCCTGCAGAGCTTGGTTTAGAGGCCGTTGCTTCCTTTCAGTCTTTCCCTGGCTTCCTGAGGAAAGCAAGATTTCTCTACTTCTGTATTCTGTAGCACTTTGTACTTCTTAGATGCTTTCTCTTGGCCTCGTGTTCTAATCATCTCTGTGTTTGTCTCCCCAGTCTCCTAAAGAGTAAACTCCTGGCCGGTAATTAACCTTATCTTCCTTCCGGGCTGGCCTTGGTGGAGCCTCCCTGGTAAATGTTTACTGAATTTTGTGGAGCGTGGACACAGATATGGAGGTTGCAAGTTACTGGTGGCCCTTTGCTTAGAATCTTTGGGGTGAAGAGTTTCCAGTCTCCTAGCGCGTTGGTGTTGTGCTGCTTCCACATCTGGGTAGGTGGAGGACTTGGAGAGGTCGCAGCTAAATCCTGTGTATAGCCACCCTGGGCTCGGATCCCTGGGCTCAGAACTGCCTCTTTCCAGGGTTAGGGCCACCCAGGGTGAGTTAACATGCAGGACTGTCTCTCCTGCAGGTCTGTCCCTCATCCCTGTGTTCTCTTTGGAGCCTGGGCTTTGTTTTTTGGCTTGCTTATCTTGAAGAAGCTGAGGGACAGTAGTTCCAAGTGGTCAGCAGAAGTTCAAGTTTGCTGTATTGGATAAGGTGAGTGAATATTGGATGGTGGACACATGACACGTGGTGTAGTATTACCCATTAGAAGGGCCTTCTGCTGTTTGCCACCTCTGGTTTGCTTTGGCTGGGGCACTGATTCCTGGACAGTCATTTGATTCCCAGGCAGCAAGAGCACATGGTTGAAGAGCTTGGAGTTTGGCAGGTCCCTGTAATTTCTGACCTCTTCCAGAAGCCACAGGAGGAGCCCTTCTCGGAGGTCGTCAGATTCACCTGAGTTCAACTTTGTGTTGCCTGCTTATTGGGCGTCTGTGAGTGACTTGGGTGTGTGGCTGAACTTGATCATGAGGAATCCTGCACTTGAATTACAGCATAGCTGGAGTGCTCATCTTCAGGCCAAGTGTAAAGGTCAGGTTAAGCCTATCTAAGCATGGCTGTTAAAACATTTTCTTGGCGTTGGGATGCAATGGGTTAAGCTGCTGCCTGGCTGTTCCACTTCCAATCTAGTTCTCTGCTAATGGCCTGGGAGAGCAGTAGAAGATAGCCCCCGCGTCCTTGGGCCCCTGCACCCATGTGGGAGAGCTGTTTCTCCCTCTTTCTAACTCAGCTTTTCAAATAAATAAATCTTTTCTTCAAAAGGACGTTTTCTCATTGCTTGCAGATGTCTGTTGAAAGATTTAGACATTCTGAATGTTTCTGTGTTGCGCTGTGCCATTCACTTGCCTTTGGGGGCCGCCCAGGCAGCCAAGTGCTTTCATTGCATTGCCTTCTCAAGGGTACTGCTGCAGGTGGAATTCTGACCTAATGCAAGCTCTGCTGTGGTGGCCAAAGCCCTCTGGTATTTTTGGTGACTGGAACTGTGAGCTAGTCAAGGGGCTTTCTACCAGGTAAAAGATACAGAAATGGATGGATAAAGTCTTCTGTAAATGAAAGAGGCCCACCTACAAGCATCTTTAGTATACAAGCATGAAGTTGTGGGTTTAGGCAATATATATATATTTTTTTTTGTAACTGTCTTTACCTATTGGTAATTCTTTCTAATCTTTTCTGGTAGTTTAACTTTGAGAATGACCATGACCATGACACGTAATGACATAACACAGAGGCTGACCTTGGGTATTCCTGTGGCTTTTGTCCTGTAGGCAGTGGGTTTTAGCTGTGGCCCTCAATTTGTCCCTAGGGGCCTTTGAGGCTTCTCTTCCTCCTACAAAGAAAGTTTCACTTTGGGCTTTCCTTTGCCAAGTGGATTATTAATGAGTTCTTGAAACTTAAGAACTTTGAAATATTTCAGCAAATTAAACTTCCTGAAATTGCATATTCAAAGTGAGGTTGTGTAGGGGGAGAGATTGGTATTGTTAAAAGAGGGTTTGTTTTAAAAAAGGTAAAATCATGATACAGATATAAAATGAATATGTCAAACACTTTATTAAATATTAAGGGAACTGGAAAAGGTGTTAGAACCTGTTCACACTTGCGTAAGTCTGTTTTGTGCTGCTGTAACAGAATACCGGAGACTGGGTGCCTTTTACAGTGAACAGAAGTTGATCGGCACACAGTCTTAGAGGCTGGGAAGTCCACTCTCAAGGTGCTCACATCTGAGAGAGGGAGGGAGAGATTGGTGCCATGGGTGGGCCCCCATCCCACCCATGCATGAGGCCAGAGCTGCTAGAGGTTTCACCTCTTAGTCCTGCTTAACAACAATTAAATTTTAGCCTAAGTTTTGGAGGTGACAGACATTCAAAACATACCAACAGAAGTCCATACATTCATATGCAGTCAAAAATGTTAAGATGAATTTACAAGATCTGTTTCTAGGATAGTAATCAATTGCATCTCAGTTAATTTGTATTTCTGTGGGCAAGAATTCTTTGCTTTGTTAACAGTTTTCTATAAGTTACAGTCTGTCTCTACAGAGCTGTTAGATAGCCTAGTCAAAGACAAAGCTACCCCTTGTGGGGTTAGGTCAGATAAGCAGGTTCCAGCATTCCACTGAAAGGATACCCAGTAATCTCTTTTGTTCTTTTCAGAGTCCTAATGTTTTTCCATCAGTGTTGAATTAATCTCCAGAGTGGGGGAAAACGGGTCTCTAACTCAAGGCTTGTTGTGAGATTTGACTCGACATTTATGTCTTCTTGGTATGGGCTAAGTGAATGATAGCTGTTACTTTGGTTTTCAGTTGTTTTATCTCAGATTTGCAGGAAACTGATCCCAGGAAATAGAGCTGAGCTGAGCGCTCCATTAGTTCTTGTCTGTTTTGTTGGTTGTAGTCTGACTGCTCATAGGTCCGTCCCCTTTCATGAAGGTAGCCTTGGCACTGTGACGCTTTCTTGTCTTTTGCACCCAGGAGGCACTTCTCTATCTGTTAGAGATCCTATCTTTTTTTTACAGGTGATGACTGTTTCTCACGCTCTTAACCAAGCCATTTTGTCTGGTTGAATGTAAGGAGGAAGTGATGACATTGGCGATGTCAGGAGCGAAAGGAAGGGGCCAGCACTGTGGCTTAGCTGGTTCAGCTGCTGCCTGCAGTGCCAGCATCACATACAGGCGCGGGTTGGAATCCTGGCTGTTCCACTTCCGATCCAGCTCCTTGCCAATGCACCTGGGAAAGCAGTAGAAGATAGCCCAAGTCTTTGGGCCCCTGCACCCATTTGAGAGATCTAGAAGAAGCTCCTGGCTCCTGGCTTCGGATCAACCCAACTCCAGCTGTTGAGGCTATTTGGGGAGTGAACCAGCGGATGGAAGTTTTCTCTCTGTCTCTCCTTATCTCTCTCTGTAACTCTGCCTTTCAAATAAGTAAATAAATGTTTTTAAAAAAAATGAAAGGAAGGCTTTGCTGATTAATTGCCCCTGATCACTAGGATGAAGTACAGCACTGAGATTGAGATGTGATGTTTCTGTCAGCTACCTTGCACCTGTGTTGGTGAATTGCCGTTTATAATTTTATAGCTTTAGGAAGTGAGTTGAAGAGGACGTAAAATGTGACATTAATAAATTTTGCTTTTTCTTCCCTTTTTTTGGCAGAATAACCAAGTGCTGGGAATTGGAAGTGGTTCTACAATTGTCCATGCTGTGCAGCGAATAGGTACGTTCTGACTGTCTACTGGATGTTTTATGTGATTATGGGGGTGCGGTAAAGGAAGTGGGGCACCCGTTTTGCACTTGTTAATTGTGGCTGCAGCAGTGCCAAGCTGGGGAGAAGGACCTGCCTGCCTGTCAGTAGAGCGTTGCTGCCCTTCTCAGGAGAGGGAGTCTTCCATCCCTCCTGTCAGTTCTGGGAGGTGCCCTTGCCTTTGTTTACTCTGCTCAGCTGGTGGGGAGGAGCTGACTTAGCAGGAGTTCCCTAGGGAGCTTTAATCATCATGATGACATCAGAGGTCCTGTGTGGTCTCAGGCTTCCTCTGAAGCCCTTGGGTTTCTCATGCAAACAAATCCGAGGCCAAAGTGAACATTCCCTTCCCTTGAGCCTAGAGAGGACCTGGGCCTCTTGCAGTTGGTAGCTGGTTCCTGAAGGTGCTGACTTCACTCAGATTGCATTGTCTCTGTGCTTAGGAAAGACTGGGCACTTATCAGTCCCTGTGGCTGTTTAACAGGTTTTACTGCCCTGCTTTTTGTTCCTCATAACAAAGCCCAGAAGAGAGGCTTGCCTGAATGAATGGGGATCTGTCTTCTAGGTGCCTCGGGCAGAGCCCAGAAGGCAAAGTCCAGGAATACTTTGTCATTAAGGAGGACCTGTAGTGCCAGTGTGATGGCTTCTGGAAGCCTTCTCATTGGTCAGACAGTGTGCTTTTCTACCTTAACCAGTTATGCGAAGAATTTTAAGGCCCAGAAGTTGCTGTGGGTTTTATAATAGTGACATTTAAGCCTTCCAGGATGTAGACTCTGATTAGGAAGACTTGGAATTTTATAAGATTTGTTTTCTTGGATTTTTTTTAATAAAACTTTCCTAAAAGGTAACAATTTCAAAATGAGTAAAATAAATCCCCTATAACCATCCTCTGGGGCATATAGATGATTATATTTTTTCCTGAAGGCAAAACTTAAACTCCCCTGGGCAGGGCAGTAGAGGGTAGCAGTGAAGGCTGAAGAGCTAGGCTGCCTGGGATCCTGCCCCAGCTCTGCCGCTAAGGCTGTGTGATTACCGAGCTGCTCGACCTTCTGTTCCTCAGTCTCCTCATCACGAAATGGAGAAAGAGTTGTAACTCACCTTCTGGGCTGTTAGACTTCAAACAGGTCATTCATACAAAGTTCTTAGGATGTTGTCATGCATGTAACGACAATGAACACTGGTTAGTGCTCCCCTCACTCACTAGGCTTCTGATGTCTGAAAGGGTGGTCACCGCTGTTACACCAAGGACAAGGACACAGAGTGGAAGGCAGCTGTCAGTGGGAGACAGACCTTGTCCTTTCTACTGGGTTTGAGCAAATATACCAGTGACAAGAAAAAAAGTGAGGAGAGTTGCAGATTGGTGCCTCCTCACGGGGCACCAAAATGTTAGGAAAAGAGGCGCAGAATAGAGTAGGCAGTGTATGAATTTACAGTCAGACCGGATTTATTCAGAGAAAACAAATCTGTAGAGGGAGGTGACCAACTGCCTGCGTGTACAAGATGGAGCCTGTGGCAGAAGGCCTTGACTCCCAGGGGCCTGATCTTAAGGAAGGCTAGGCTGGGGTTGGAGTAGGGGGCAGCAGGGGGAGGGGAATTCCAGGAACTGGGTGGGTGGGGGGGCCTTGGGAACCTGGAAAAGAATGCAGGGTGGGGTGTAAAAGCAATAGGGTGTGAGACCCAATTGAGATTCAAGGGCAAGGAATACATCTCAAAGTTTATCTCCTCTGGGCAGTGAGGGAGAATGGCTGAGCCTTGTGTTCTTGTTCCATCAGATACGCTTTTGTCTCCACAGCTGAAAGAGTGAAACAGGAGAATCTGAACCTTGTCTGCATCCCCACTTCCTTCCAGGTTTGTCGTTGCTTTCCATTCTGCATCTGAACAGCTGCTGCCAGGTCCTCTGGCTCTATGGAGGTGGGCCTGTGGGCAGGAAGGAGTACCCACAGGAGCTTCTGTTCACTTGTGAATATTTCAGGGCAGCTTGAGTTCAGGCACCGGGAAGCATGCAGATGGGACCTCTGTCCTCAAGGAGTATTATCCCCATTTACAGGTGGAAAAAAGGCGGAAAGGAATTAATTGATGTGTTAGTAATACAAACACAGTATTTTGGTTCCATATCTAATGTACTTTCAGCATGAAATTGTAGGAGCTGGTAGAGGAGAATAGTAGAGCCAAGTAATTACAGGGAAAGGTAAGGAAAGAATAGACTTTGGGAGGTAGAAGGGAAAAGAGGTGCTAAGTTGGAGGCCTGTCTTGTCTCTCTTCTGGCCGTTGAGAAGGGGTGTGTGTGTACATATACATATATATAATCTCATTGGATTAGCCAAGGTGAAATTTACTAACTAGAAAAGTGGGTTGGATTTACAGGTAGCTAGTGCTTTGGGACTTCATGAACTTAGCTTTGGACAACCCAGACAGCCTGGTTTTCCTAGAAAAGCCTGAAGCAGTTCTGGTTAAGGAGAGACTGGGTAGCATTCTTCTGAGCCATGTGGGAGGTGCAGTCAGACAAAACAGAGGGTGTAGGCAGGGATTCCAGGTAGTCAGGCTAAGGAATTAGACATGCATACTAAGTATGTCCATCTAAAGGGGTTGAGGGTGAGGGTAGTGTGCTATTTTTAAATAAAAAGACTTGAGCTATTTGATTCTTTAGTCTGAGTGTGTGTGTCCCTGTTGTGAGCACCACTTGTCACACAGCTTGACAAGGCTAATGCAGTGTGTCGGAGCACGGGGAAGAATCATACAGAATTGTGATAGTCTTTTCAGTACCACTCAATATATATTCAGTGCACACATCCAAAGATCAATACCACTCAATATGTCATTAGTCCACAGGTAATAGTAATAAGTATAACACATACAAAGCATAAAGGCATAACCAATCTAAGCACTCATGGCTAAGGATGTAATACGAATGCTGCATTCTCAAGGTTTGTATCATGGTCACGAAAAGTCAAAGTCCAGAGTCCAAACGGATCTCAGAACAGTCACTTACGGGCAGGAGTCAAGGGATGGCTGGCACTCTGGGCAGTAGGCTCGAAGTTCCAAGACGGATGGCAAGGAGAAGGGTTGGAGAGGTCACCTGATGAGAGGTCTGGTCCGGCTCCGATGTCAGCTCTGGCAGTAGCTGGGACGTGCAGGTGAGATTGGCTCCAGCGGAGTGGCGAGCAGCGCTTCAGTCAGTGAACACTCAGGCAGAGTTTCGCTGGCACTGAGCCCTGGTCCCCGAGGGGATACAGAGCAGTTGGGAGGCTTGCCTTTCTATCCCCATCTGGGGCAGGTGGGCGGTGAGTGTGCTCTAGTGTGCCACCAGTCACAGGCTCATCTTCTTGGGTGTCACCAGCCAGATGTTGGTGTTTGGGTGTGACCAGTGGTGTGTTGGGGGTCATCTTGGTGTGACCAGTCGTGCAGTAGTGGGTGAAGTAATGCAGTAGCCAGCTGGTTGGCTGCTTCTTATGATGTAATGTCCTCCAGCCCTTATCAGGCCTCACCACCTGTGTCTGTTCTGACAGATGGTCTGGGCAGTTCCTGGTGCTTGGTGGCCTTAGCTTAAGTAACCCCATTTTGGTTTTGTTTTTTTCTCTTTCTTTTTGAGTTAGCAGTGCTCTGTAACTCTTTTGGGACTCTTTTGGCCACAGCACAGATAGACCACATAGTGTTATTAAGGCAGGCATGCAGGATAAAATTGATCATATTTGTGAGCTGGAAGGCCACGCCTTCACCACACCCTTGTGACCTCATGCCTCTACCTGGCCACACCTGTGTGCCCACCTGCCAATCAGGCTAATTAACCACTCCCCTTTGGAAGTGGATTAAAGTCCTGGGACAAGGTGGGCCCAGCCGTTCCTTGGCCTTTTTGGCCCTTTTCCCTTTTGCGCTGGACCCGCTTGCTGCACCTTCGGGGCGCGTGGCCTTCGGGCCACCCGCCCTATGCTTTCTAGCCTGCATGCTCCTCCACATGGCAAGCTCCTGGTACTCGGTAAGAATCCAGATTTCCCTCTCTTTTGGATGGGGCCCTCACTCTCCTATGCATTTCTTAAAAAAACTTACCATGCTGCCTTGTTCATGTATGCCAGTATTCAGAATTCTTGTCTATTAGGCAAGAACCCACTGGCTGTTTAAGGGGTATGCCTCTGATTACATTTGCCACCCCAAATGGGATTTTAAGGGCCCTGTCTGATTACAGGGTGCTGATTTCTCTTCTTGACTGTCCAGTAAAGTAAATTTTGCCTTGCTTTGCTTTTCTTCTGTTTCCTCTTCCCCTCCCACTTCTTCCTCCCTGCCTCCCCCCCCTTTCCTAGATTGCTTGTAATCTCTTACTAATTCAACACCAAATTCTTGGTCAGGTGGGAAAATCTGTTTTTCTGGCAGTGGATGTCTCACTCCATCAGTTTCATCACTTGGTGAAGTCCTGGGTGGGTGGTGCTGTAGGCTGCTGTACTCAGCTGTTGTCTTTGGGTCTCCTTTTGTTATGGGTGAAATGACAACAGAGAAAATAGTACTACCTCAGTTCTTTGTCTCACATGGAAGAAGAATTTCCAAGCGGACAAGCAGAGAGATTTAAAAGTGAGATTTATTAGTCAGAGACCTCCAGCCAGAGTGGCATGGAGGGGATCCAAGAGAGGAAAAACCTAAGGGGCCGGTGGTACTGGGGTTTTTAAGCACAATTATGGGGAAGAAAAAAATTTGACATTCAGTTACAGGGCAGGGACAAAACCCATCAAAAGACCTGATTTGCAATCCTTCATTCTATCTTACTTGCTCTTGATGTGACAAAAAGACCCATGAGAAGGGTGGGACACTTAATTTGTTTTACAGGGAACTGGGAGCTCAGAAGGAATGCCATTCCCTTTGCTGTTCTCATAAGATTGGAAGCTTTCAAGGAGTGGGCAGGCAGGCACTTTTGACCTTGCAGATTTGCACCCTCAGTTTCCACTGGGACCACCCTGACTGCCTGTTAACCCATCTGACTCCTCACACTTCCACAGTTTGGAATTTTTTTTTTTTTTTAGGATTGATTTGTTTACTTGAAAGAGTTAGAGAGAGTGGAGGAGAAACAGAAAGAGCAAAGGCGAGACACAGAGATCTTCCATCTGCTGGTCCATTCTCCAGATGGCTACAACAGCTAGGGCTGGGCCAGCTGGAACCAGGAATCAGCAGCTTTATCCAGGTCTTCTGCATGGGTGGCAGGAGCCCAAACATTTGGGCCATTTTCTGCTGCTTTTCCCAGGCCATCAGCAGGGAGCTGGATCTCAAGGGAGCGGCGGGACTCTAACCTATGTTATAGGTAAAATGGCAGCGAAGAAAGGCGACCTTGGTTCCTGTCTGACCTGGAAGAAGAATTTCCACGTGGACTAGGCAGTGAGCAAAGCAAGATTTAAGTTGGAAACTTCCTGCTGTAGCAGCCTGGACAGGGCTCCAGGAGAGGCAGAGGAAACTGATGGAGTATTTTAAGTATAATTTTTTTTGGGAAAAAAACAGCAGCTAACAATCAGGGTGGGCACAAAGCCCATCAAAAGGCCAGATTCCATAAACCTGTCTAGCTTGCTTATAGTAAAACAGAAAAGCCATCAGAAGGGTAGGATAATCTTTGTTTTCACAATAAACAAAAACTCAAGGGTAGAATCATTACTTCCTTGCTATTCTCATGATAAAACTGGAAACTCAGAGGAGTATTTTGCTAACAGCTTCTGAGGAAAAGCATGCATTTTGTACCCTCTTAAAGAGACTTCCCCTTTCCTCATTCCAGCTGGAACCCAACCTAATGGCCTGTTAGTCCATCTACCTCCTCACACCAATACCCATATGGGATGCCACCAATGCAGGTGGTGGCTTTAACTGCTAGGCCGTAACACTAGTTCTGGGAAACCTAATTGCTGTTTCTTGGTCCTGTTTGCTCTGCCACCCCTGACTCTCAGTTTTTGTGATGGGCATCCTGTAGGTAGCTAGCTTCCTAAGTGTATAGGATGCAGGTTTGACGCTGGATGTCTGAAGACCTCTTTATTCTACCCTTTCACATTCAGTCATTTGACTTTGTAGTCAATTCTATGTTAAATAATTTCCTAGGAATTTTGAAGATAATTTCTCTTTAGTCTGGTTTTCAATTTGCTCTTGAGAAGCTCGATACATTCTGATTTGTAATCTGTTCTTTGAAACCTACTTTTAGTTTTCTCTCAGAACTCATTTATATTCTCTTTTGCTTTTCTTCAGTATGGGTATATATTTTTTATTTTAAAGATTTATTTTATTTTATTATTTGAAAGTCAGAATTACACAGAGAGGAGAGACAGAGAGAGAGAGAGAGGTCCTCCATCCGATGGTTCACTCCCCAACTGGCCACAGTGGCTGGAGCTGTGGCGATCTGAAGCCAGGAGCCAGGAGCTTCCTCCGGGTCTCCCCCATGGGTTCAGGGGCCCAAGGACTTGGGCCATCTTCTACTGCTTTCCCAGACCATAGCAGAGAGCTGGATCAAAAGAGGAGCAGCCAGGACTAGAACCGGTGCCCTTATGGGTTGGTGGCACTTCAGGCCTTCAGGTCAGGACGTTAACCACTGAGCTGTAGCGCCAGCCCCCGGTATGAGTATATTTTCATCTGTTGTATTGGCATTTCATCTTGAAAATTTACACTTCAGTTTTGAGAACTTTTTGCTTTTATCTTTGGTTTTTCTTCCCTCTGTTTTCTTTGGTTTTTCTTTCTAAGACCCTCATGGTGGCTTTGTGGACTGGCTTAGTTTAGCTATCACACTGGGGCAGTTGGGACCATTCTGCTGCTGTGTAAACAAGCTGAGACTAGATTCCTGGAGGAGGAACGGCCATGAGCACAGTGGCTCTAGGCATGCAAGTGAGGCCATCTTACACTCGCCATTTTTACACTTGCCAATCCAGATGATAAGATTTTCCAATGAGTCCATGGAAATCTGAGAAATCATAAATATTTGCTCCTATAAGCCACGGAGTTTAGGGGTAGCTACTGTGTGGCAAAAGCTCATTGGAGCAGTAACTGCCTTTTGCCCAACTGTGCCTGGCAACTCAGGCCTAAGACTGGCTGTTTGACCTACAGAGAACCAACCTGCCACTTTGGGAGTAGGAAAGGAAGAGGTGGAGGTGTAATAGCTTTTAAGTTACTTGTCACTCCCCCTCTTCGCGGAGGAACGACACAGGACCCTGCGCTGTTCTTTTGTCTGCTCGGCCCTTCCCGGGTTTGCCGCTGGTTCTTCCCGGGTTGGCTGCCATCCCTTCCACCTCCGTGGAAGGGCGGCTCCCCCTGCCACTTTCCCCACTTCCGTGGGGGAGTGGCACACCGCCGGCCGGCTCTCTCAGATGTTATCTGGATGTTCCCTTTAGATGTTCCTGGTGCATGTTGTCTCTCTCCTCCTTTATAGTCCTCTTCCACCAATCCCAACTCTGCTACCCACACGCCGAGTACGCTGCCCTCCTCCAATCAGGAGCAGGATCAGCTCCTGCAGGTTATTGGTCGAACTGGAGGCAGCTGTGTAGAAGTTGTTTACTCCTCTCCCAGCGCCATATTGTGGGAGAGCAGATGCATAGAATAAGTCTTAATTCCAGTAACTTAGTCTAGTCCGAGTTGCTCCCCACAGTTACTTTTTTTTTTTTTTTAAAGATTTATTTATTTGAAAGTCAGAATTAGAGAGAGAGGTCTTCCATCCGCTGGTTCACTCCCCAGTTGGCTACAATGGCCGGAGATTCGCCTATCCAAAGTCAGGAGCCAGGAGCTTCCTCCTGGTCTCCCACGCAGGAGCAGGGGCCCAAGCACTTGGACCATCTTCCACTGCTTTCCCAGGCCACAGCAGAGGACTGGATCAGAAGTGGAGCAGCCGGGACTTGAACTGGTGCCCTTATGGAATGCTGGCACTGCAGGCGGCAGCTTTACATGCTACGCCACAGTGCCGGCCCCCTTAAGTTACTTTTCATTCAGTTTTCCTGTTTTACTGCTCTGTTGTATCCACTTCCTGTAGTTTGTAGATAATCCCAATTCCTCAATCTTTGGGAGGTTCTGTGATGTTTGTTTGGTTGTTACTTGTCTTTTTCCACTATTGGCCTAGGATTTCTCTCTTATTTCTGCCATTTACCATTGTCTATCAGTGGTCCAGCTTTTAGAAATTTGTTCGAGTCCTGGCTGCTCCACTTCCAATCCAGCTCTCTGCTAATGTGCCTGGGAAAGCAATGGAGGATGGTCCAAGTCCTTGGGCCCCTGTCACCCATGTGGTAGACCTGGATGGAGCTCCTGGCTTTGGTCTGGCCCAGCCATAGCCATTGTGACCATTTGAAGAGTAAGCCAGCAGATTGAAGATTTCTCTCTCTGCCTCTCCCTCTCTCTAACTCTGCCTTTCAAATAAACAAATCTTTTTAAAAAATTCCTTTTTTGTACTTTTTAAGAGATTTTGAGAAGGAGCTAAGCTAAATATATGTATTCAAGCAGCTATTTTTAACTGGAAGTCTGATCCTGTGCTTTTTTATGATAACATTCTCTTAACTTGTATTATAGTGATCATTGATAACAGCAGATCCAGACTGGAAAGTACTGGCCAATTTTAGTTAATTAGGCTGGAACAATTATTCAAAGTTCACAGGATTTTTTATTTATTTGAAAGGCAGTTCAAATAATGCCCAAGATAGCTGGTGCTGGGCCAGGTCAACGCCAGGAGCTCCATCCAGATCTCCCATGTGGGTGACAGGAGCCCAAACACTTAGGCCATCTTCTGCTGCTTTCCCGGGTACGTTAGCAAGGAGCTAGATTGGAAGTGGAGTAACTGAGACTTGAACTGGTGCTCATGGGATGCTGGTGTCGCAGCTTAACACCCTGCACCACAATGCTGACTCTCACAAGGTTTCTAAAAATTCATTTGTTCAGTTTTCTTCCCCCTTTAAATTCAAACTTACTTTCTTTTAAGTTTGGTCAGATGCCATCTTTAAAATGGTTGAACTATAACAATTTTTTTTAAAAGATTTATTTATTTGAAAGAGTTACACGAAAAGGAGAGGCAGAGATAGAGAGGTCTTCCATCTGCTGGTTTATTCCCCAAATGGCTGCAATGGCCAGAGCTGGGCCAATCTGAAGCCAGGAGCCAGGAGCCAGGAGCTTCTTCCAGGTTTCCCATGCAGGTGTAGAGGCCCAAGCATTTGGGCCATCTTCTAATGTTTTCCCAGGCCATAGCAGAGAGCTGGGTTGGAAGTGCAGCATCTGATACTCGAATTGGTGCCCATATGGGATGCTGGCATTGCAGGCGGCAGCTATGCCACAGTACTGGCCCCTGAACCCTGGTTTTTAATACAAGTAAACTTATAGGAATTTAAATGATTTTGAAAATGAAGGATCTGACCTAAGCCCCAGTAGCATTTATTATTCAGTCTTGCTTCAGACCCGCATTAATTAGATGATAAAAGGAAAATGCAATGTGTTTTTAGGTTTTATGGTGAAATTTATGTAAAACAGAAAGACTGCTGGCCCTCCACATGCCTCTGTCTTTAATCACAAGCGACACTTGGGAGCACAGCGGAGGAGTTGCAGTGAGAAGGCATTGTTTCCTTTCTTTTTGCAAAAGCAGGAGCTCATCATTCACTTCCTACTCTGTGCTTCTTCAGGAGTTTTCACTGGAAGAGGCAGGCAGACAGGAGGCTCCTTAGCCAGCCATCTGGGAAAGTGTCTGGTCCAGTTGAGCACCTGAGGTTGCACATTCTGACTAAGCCAATAATGTTGTGTTGAACTCATTGTACTTGTTTGCTTGGGCTGCTGTAGCAAGGTACCATGAACTGAACGTGTGTGTGAACGTGCCACTCTCCCTGCCTTGCAACATCAGTTATAAACTGACCTTAGGGATCACACCATCACCTCTGCTGTGTGCTATTGGTCATGCAGACCAGCCCTGGACAGTGTGGGAAGGGGTTACTCAAAGGCATGAGTACCAGGTGGTGGTGATCCTGGGGAAGTGTTGGAGGCTGCCTTCCAGAGGTTGACATGTTCCTACAGCCCCAGCGTCTCTGGGATTAGCATGATTTCTCTAATACTGCTTTTGGAAAAATCTAGAAACTGTGAAATAATCCAGTAGTATCATTTTTTTGTGTTATTTCCCCTTTTAATTTTTTTCCTTGGTAAGTACAAAATTGTATTTTTTTAATTTATTTTTTCAGTGAACATTTTTTTCTTAGCTTTTCATGTGGAGCATTTCGAACTTGAAAAAGGATAAAGAGGCCGGTGCCGTGGCTCGCTAGGCTAATCCTCCGCCTTGCGGCGCCGGCACACCGGGTTCTAGTCCCTGTCGGGGCGCCGGATTCTGTCCCGGTTGCCCCTCTTCCAGGCCAGCTCTCTGCTGTGGCCAGGGAGTGCAGTGGAGGATGGCCCAAGTGCTTGGGCCCTGCACCCGCATGGGAGACCAGGATAAGTACCTGGCTCCTGCCATCGGATCAGCGTGGTGCGCCGGCTGTAGTGCGCCGGCCGCAGTGGCCATTAGAGGGTGAACCAACGGCAAAGGAAGACCTTTCTCTCTGTGTGTCTTTTTCTCTCACTGTCCACTCTGCCTGTAAAAAAAAAAAAAAAAAAAAAAGATAAAGCACAGTATAATGAACTTCCTTGTACCTGTCACCCAATTTCAAGTTATCTCATAGCCAATCCTATCTCATCTATACACCATTCCTCTTTACTCCTTTTTTTTTTTTCAAAGTAAACTTTAGGTATAGTATTGTTTCATTGTATATATTCAGTTGAGTTTCTTAGAAAAAATAGCTTTACAAACATCACAACAATGCTAAAAAAATATTTAACCACAATCTTACACCAACATCCAATGTTGTCTTCACTTTAAAAAATACTTTTTATAGTTTATTTGCATCAGGATTCCAAATCCCTTACATTACAGATTCCAGGGTGTTTGTGTTTTACTACTAAAGTCGTAGCATTTTGTATTAGAAGATTGGCCTTGGTCATTTCACCCATTCTATCTTTTTAGAAATAAGAACATTTGCCAAGAGCCATGTGGCTGGTTTGTTTAAGATTAGAATCTAGACCTTCTGATTCTCAAATTCAGATGCTTTTTATTTTAAGGAGTAGGTATTTTGAAGTGATGGCTTTGGAAAAAAAGTTTCCTACTCTTTGGTTCCTCTCTGTATTTAAAGCAGTGATGTAAACACAGACCCTCATCACTTGCACTTGTGTGGTCAGATGTGAAGCCTCCCTTGAGCTATGTGTAGCCATAACCACTGCTTTCCCTTTTTGGTCAGCCTGGAGGCATGTCTGTGAAGTAAATGGTACTTTTTTTTCACAAACAACCTAAATCTTTCGTAGTCTAGGATTCTACATTTGCTGAATTCCTCAGACATTCTGGAAGTCTTATCTGTATATTCTCTTCTGAGTATATAGATTCTTTTGTTTATTTTTGCTTCTGTATCATTCCATAGTGATCTTCAGTCTTTTTTCATATTGTTGGATTATTTTAAAAGCTTTTCTAATATTTTGTGTGCTTATTCTTATTTTTAGAATTTTTTTTATCTAAACATATGTTGCCAGAAGGTTTATTTAGGAACTGATAGCATGGTTTTTAAAGATTATTTAATTTGAGAGGCAGAGCTACAGAGAGAGAGATTGATTTTCCATCCACTGGTTCACTTTCAAATGGCTGCAATGGCTGTTGTGGGCTGGGCTGAAGCCAGGAGCCAGGGGTTTCATCAAGGTCTCCCATGTGGGTGGCAGGGCCCCAAATACTTGGCCCATCTTCCACTGCTTTCCCAGGTGCAAGAGCAGGGAGCTCAGTTGGAACTGGAGCAGCTGGCATTTCAACTGGCACCCATATGAGATACTGGTGTTGCAATCAGCAGCTTAACTCACTGCGCCACGGTGCCAGCCCCTTAGCAGGTTTTGAGTAGCCTGTCTCCAAGCAGCAGCTCTTAGCTAGCACTGGAATGGAGCCTTCACTGCATGCTGTTGGCCTTTTTTCAGCTCCCAGGCGGAACTAGCAGTTTCAGCATTTGTGGGGCTACGTCTCTTACCTTTTGGTGGGCCAGATCAGGACTAAGCGTTTACTTAAATCCAGAAATATTCTGAGAATCCTTGCCATGTTCTGAGAGCGAATGATTGTGGGTGATTTTCTCTGTTCTCCCCAGGCCCGGCAGCTCATCCTGCAGTATGGCTTAACCCTCAGTGACCTGGATCGACACCCAGAGGTGAGAGCAGGCAGACTGCTGCGTCTTTCTCTGTTTTGATGGTGCTCGCTTGTGCATGGCTCTGGTTATCTTGTCAGTCTAGGGAAGAATTAAGTCAGTGGCACCAACTTTTCTCCTAAAATTCTGTGTGTTAATCCTGCCTGAGGTTGTCACAAATGAGCTGGTTAGTTTCCTGTATATCCCCTGTGGTTTAACCCTAAGAGCGCAGTATGAGTGTAGCAAAGGGGAGCTAGCAGGGCTGGGCTGGCAAAACTCCGGGCATCGTAGGCCCTTTTACAGAGGTGCAAGAGCAAGCTGACTCATGGAGCTTGCCACCTAAGTGGAGATAAGAAATAACCATCTGAGGCAGCCGCGGACCAGTGAAAACAGATGAAAATTAAGTTTTGCGGTCAGGATGGTTGAACATGGGGCAGGCCAGAAGAGGCTGAAGTTGTCAGGATGAACAATGTCACACATCACCCCAGCCAGCACCATCCAAGTTAATTACTGCATGCCAGGTATTATGCTAAGGGCTGTTTGTGTTGTGTTAAATTACTTAGTCCTCAGGATTCTTGAGGTTCGGTGTCAGATGATTTCATTTTATATATGAAAAAGTCAGAGAGTTAGTCATTTGCCTAAGGTCACACACTGTTTGTAAGTGGCAGAGCCAGAATTTGAACTAGGGCACTTCTGGCTCTAGAGCTGTGCCAGTCGGAAGAGTTTTGCAAGAAGAGGTAGTTTGTGCTGAGCTGTAAAGGCTGGGAGGCAGGGGCAGGAGAGAATATTTCAGAGAGGGCAGGAGGAACCACGGGAATATTTCCGCTTGGGCACATGGGCCTGTACAGACAGTGTACAGCTTGGGTGCTTTGGACAGAGTATGTGGAATGTGTCGATGCATAGTGTAGGGTGAGGGGCTCCATGCCGTCTAGAAACCCTTGGCCTCGAGGGATCACTAAGAGAACCAGGGGATTTTTGTGCACAGAGCCAGAGCACAGGCATCATCACCTGTTTAGCAGCTGTGTGGAGAGTGGTTTGGGCTGCGAGTAGGCCCAGAGCCCAGACAGAAGAGGTGGCTACTTTTCAGGCCCCAGAGTTGCCACAGCATAGCTTGACCCTGAAGTTAGTGTAGGGTTGTGGAAGAGTGGTGCAGGCTGAAGCTTCAGACAGAGACTAGAATGTGTGAGTGGAGGGAAGTGAGAGCGCCGCATGTCAAACCTGTAGGCTTTACACCTGTGCCATGCCAGCCATGCCAAGCAGCTGCACCATGGGTGCAGTGTGTACCTTGCACAACACTGTTTTTTAAAAAGATTTATTTATTTATTTGAAAGAGTTACACACAGAGAGGAGAGACAGAGAGCTGTTCCATCCTTTGGTTCACTCCAAATGGTGACAACAGTGGAGCGGGGTTGATCCAAAGCCAGGAACCAGGAACTTCTTCAGGATCTCCCATGTGGGTGAGGGGGCCCAAGCACTTGGGCCATCTTCTGCTGTCTTCCCAGGCACATTAGCACGGAGCTGGATCAGAAGTGGAGCAGCTGGGACTCTAACCCATGCCCATATGAGATGCCAGCATCGCAGGCTGTGTCTTAACCCGCTGTACCACAGTGTCCACCCTACATGATACTGTTTTAAAAAACTGCTCAGGGGCTGGTGTTGTGGTGTAGTGGGTTAAGACAAAGCCTGCGATGCTGGCATCCCATGTGGGCTTGGGTTGGAGTCCTGGCTGCTCCACTTTTGATCCAGCTCCCTGCTAATGCACCTGGGAAGGCAGCAGAAGATGGCCCAAGTGTTTGGGTCCCCTACCACTCACGTGGAGACCCAAATGGAGTTCCAGGCTCGTGATTTCCATCTGGCCCAGCCCTGGCTGTTACAGCCATTTGGGGAGTGCATAAGTGGATAGAAAAATCTCTCTTTCTGTGTCCCGCCACCCTCTCTTAACTCTTACCTTACAAATAAATAAATAAATACTTCAAAAAAAAAAAAAAAAAACTGCTTGAAGTCTGTGTTGTCCTTGCAGAGTACCATGAGTGATGAGAAATAGATAGCTTCATTGGTTTTGTTTATTTGAGAGAGAGCTATGCCTCCTGTCAGCTGTTTCATTCCCTAAATGTCTACAACAGCTGGAGCTGGGTAGGACTGAACCAGGCGCCAGGAACTCAGTCTGGGGCCCCCCACCTGGGTGCCAGTGATGCTAGTCACTTGAGCCATCACTTGCTGCCTCCCAGGGTGGGCATTAGCAGGAAGTAAGGACTGAGAAAGAGCAAGGGCTGGAATCCAGGCATCCAACTGGTGTCCTCTACTTCCCTGATTTGGTTTTTGAGAGATGATTGAACCCATTTGCTCCTCAGCTGCTTTTGGGGCTGGTGGTAGAGCTTCCTCATGGAGGGAATGGGCAGGCCCAGACAGTGCTTTGGGTCTTAGTGGGAATGCCTCAAGTAGTTTCTAACCCAGGAACAAATTGAAATTTCTTGTATGTCTGCCCACTTCAGTGCAAAGACTTCTCTGTCAGGGTTTTTTTGTTTGTTTTCTTTTTTTAATTGACATCACTGCCCTGCAAGGGGGGCCCCCCACAACGGGACATTTAATAGCACTGATATATTGTATATCTGTTTATGTACTTGTGGCTTTTTGGAAGGCCAAAAACAATTGAATATTTAAGGTTTTTCACCCCCCTACCCCCAAGAGACAGTTTTTGCTTCCTTGGGAATTTTGGTACCCACATTGAGAATGCATGCTCTAGGTAATTCTAACTTGTCCAGAGAGAAGTCCTTCAGTGACTAGAACAAGTATAGCATTGTGGGTAATGGCTAATCCAGGTTTGAGTCCTAAGTCTTCTGCTTGTTTCCTTGTGACCCTAGTGAAGGGGTTTAATCATGGGGCCTCAGCTGCTTTTTTAATTAATAAATTTATTTATTTGAAAGGGAGAGCAACAGAGAGAGATGGAGAACTTCCATCTGCTGGTTCATTCCCCAGATGGCAGGTCTAAAAAGCCAGGAGCCAGGGATTCTATCCCGGTTTCCCACCCTTGGGGATCCAAGTTCTTGTGCCATCTTCTGCTGCCTTCCCAGGTGGCCTCAGCTTGTTCGGTTAAGTGAGAATATTGGACCTAGCTGCTAGGGCTGCCGAGGGTCTCATGGGCTGTGCATGGGAAGGTTAGCAGAGACTCCCCTCATGAGGCTTAGGGGTTTTTGTGTCTGTCTCTCCCCTCAACACAGATTGACCTCGCCATCGATGGTGCTGATGAAGTAGATGCTGATCTCAATCTCATCAAGGGTGGTGGGTGAGTGTTGGGGACTTTCTTACTAAAGAGTACCTGCCAGTTAATCTTCGCCAAAGCAAAGTGCGATGCAGTGGGATTGCCACTGTGATGTGTGGGAGTCTGTCTTTCTACCAGGATGTTGATGGCAAATGTCCTGAGAGCTGGACTGGCATGTCTGGCATTAGCAGCAGTGTGGTGTCCAGGAACCTGGGCCTGTTCAGGGCGATGGGTGATTCATCTTCATGGCCTTCTGTGTGTCTGTGTTCTGCTCTCTCAAACCTTGAAAACTGGGCAGGCCAAAGCACATATTATTGGGCTAGCTGTGGGATCAGTGTGTGGCCTTTGCTTTAAAGGTTGTCTTACCTCTGTGGGCAGCTAGGGAAGCCATTCATTTATTTGGAAAATAACTGGGTTGTTCTTATTTTGGATCAGGGAGTGGTGAGTTGAAGAAGGTGAAGTCCCGGTTCTCACAGTCAAGTCGGTATCGAATGGTGTAAAATCTACTTCATTGTCCCTAAGATTTTCTTCTGTGTCCCTTGGTCTTCCTGATGGCAGACGTGAGGTGATTTAGCTGGTCAGCGGTAGGGGCAGGCCTGATCCCAGGTCTGCTGATTCTGTGTCCAGGGCTTGCTCCACTCCATCACCCTGCAAATTAAGTGGAATTTCTCTTTAAGTGTTAGGTTGGGTGGATTTGGGGTTCCTGTATCTGATCTTAGTTCCCCAGTTGAGATTCTGTCTTGATCCTGTACTCTTTCTTTTTTCCCATCCTCAGAGGCTGTTTGACGCAGGAGAAGATCGTGGCAGGGTATGCCAGTCACTTCATCGTGATCGCTGACTTCAGGTAAGTGCCCAGTGTTTTGAACTGCCTGCTGGGAAATAGAGCGCACAAAAAGGAACTTGTGGTGAAATAGAGACTCTGTGACTTTCTGAGACTGATTGCTAGGACTAAGGTCTTTTTTTTTTTTTTTTTTAAAGATTTATTTATTTGAAAGGCAGAGTTACAGAGAGGCAGCGGCAGAGAGAGAGAGAGGTCTTCCATCTGCTGGTTCACTCCCCAGATGGCCGCAATGGCCGGAACTGCGCCAACCCAAAGCCAGGAGCCAGAAACTTCTTCTGGGTCTCCCACGTGGGTTCAGGGGCCCACGCACTCGGGCCATCTTCCACTGCTCTCCCAGGCCATAGCAGAGAGCTGGTTCAGAAGTGGAGCAGCCGGGACTCGAGCTAGTGCCTTATGGGATGCCGGCACTGCAGGTGGTGGCTTTACCCGCTATGCCACCCTGCCGGCCCCTAGGACTAACGTCTTATATTCTGCTTTCATATTGACCGTAGATGTCACTAACTGATCACAGCATTCTGTCCTCTGTATGGTTTTACTATGAAATTATTTATTTGAAAGGCAGAGTTAGAGAGAGGCAGAGAGAGAGAGAGGTCTTCCATCTGCTGGTTCACTCTCCATATGGCCGCAATGGCCAGAGCTGTGCTGATTTGAAACCAGGAGCCAGGAGCTTCTTCCGGGTCTCCCACGTGGGTGCAGGGTCCCAAGGACTTGGGCCATCTTCCACTGCTTTCCCAGGCCACAGCAGAGAGCTGGATGGGAAGTGGAGTGGCTGAGACTCGAGCTAGCACCATATGGGATGCTGGCACTGCAGGCGGTAGCTTTACCTGCTACACCACAGTGCCAGCCCCATGGTCACAGCATTCTTAAGCTGAGTGGGGATCTCCTGTGCTGGTCCTTATGTCCATGAGATAGGGAAGGAAACAGCTTGTCAACCCTACTAGCAGAGCAGGTACTCAGGTGTCACTCATCAGATTGTCACAGGGAACCTCTAAGAAGCAGGCCATGTTCTGCCCATGGGCAGTGACTCAGTGTGCCCTGCCTCCTGCAGAATGTGCCACACATGACTTGTGTTGCAGTCTTCAACCAGGCTCCCAGAGTCTCCTTCAAGGAGTCTGGCTAAGGCACGTGTACCTGTGTGTGTGTGTGTGTGTGTGTGTGTGTGTGTGAAAGAGAGAGAATAAGAATTTTACAGCAGCTGTAGAAAAAGCATAAACAAAGTCTGTACGTCCACAAACCAACTATATAAAATTCCAACATTTTTGTGATATTTGTTTCAAATATTTCTTTCCCACAGTGGAACAGCCAGTGCGTGTGAAGCCCTGTGTCTACTGGTCCCATCACTTTCTTTCCCTTCCCAGCATCGAATTAACCCCGTTCGTGAATGTGGTCTTTGTCTGAACCATTGAGCTTATTACTTTCATGGTACTTCTTGACTCTTCGCAGGAAAGACTCAAAGAATCTTGGAGATCAGTGGCATAAGGGAATCCCCATCGAGGTCATCCCAATGGCTTACGTCCCAGTGAGCCGAGCAGTGACCCGGAAGTTTGGGGGCGAGGTTCAGCTTCGAATGGCTGTGCACAAGGCGGTAAGTGGCCGGGGGGGGGGGGGGGTGTGCAGAGGGCACTCCAGTCTGTCTTACCCTCCTCTCTGCTCCTGTTTGGTTCTCTGTGCCTTGACCAGGCAGCCAGTTTTTTACTTATTTTTAACCGTTTGTTTATTTTTAGAGAGTTGGCTTTATTCGTTTCTGTAATCAATCACATGACGATAAGACTATACCCAATATAGTGGACATCTCATGTATAGATGGGGGATGAATCTTTCTTTCTGTCTCTTGGAATATTACATTCTTTGGGTGATCTAACCTTTGTACTGGAAGCCCCTCCCCACTGCTTAACAGCTGCCGACCGGAGTTTGGGACAGACTTTAGGTTCCATGTGCAATTTTCTTTTTAAGTAAAGAAAAAAGATTATTTATTTGATAGGCAGAGTGATGGGGAGAAGAGGAAGGCAGAGAGAGACTGAGGTCTTCATCTACTTCCATTCTCAAATGGCTGCAGTGGTGGGCTAGTCAGGGCCAAAGCCAGAAACCCGACACTCCATCTGGCTCTCCCACATGGGTAGTGAGGTCTCAAGCACTTGGGCCATCATCTGCTGTTTTCCCAGGCACGTTAGCAGGGAGCTGGATCAGAAGCAGAGCAGCCAGGACTTGAACCAGCACTCTGATATGGGTTACTGGTGTTGGTGTTGGAAGCAAAGGCTTACCCAGCTGTACCACAACACTGACCACATGCATCATCTTTTTTTTCTCCTTGCTTCTCTCATCCTGTGTATAAATATGACAAGATGTAGAATTTTAGCAGGGGATCTGACTCCTTTATAGTAGTCTACTCCAGACACTTTAGTCCAAATGTTTCTCTTTGGCTTTTCAATGGGTTGGTTGCAAAAAGCTTTTTTTCTTTTACATGTAAACAAGCAAAAGAAATAATTCAACCTAACTATACTTATAGTCTATATAGCAATTTATATGCTAAATAAAAAGCTTATAAGATATAAAGAAGAAACAAAATGATCTGTGACTAAACCCTGGCACATTTTTCATTTAATGTCTTTGCTTTCCAGTGTTTTTATGACTTTAACGGAAAAAAAAAAACCTAGTCCTAACCACAGTGGGTTTTCCCAGGCTGTGACTGATGTTTTGTGGCTCGCTTTAGCTGAAGGGCCAGAGCAGGTTGTGGGACTGTTTCTTATAGATGGTTTACTCCAGGCAAGAGCCTTAGCTCCCTGCCTTCATGGAGTTGTGTGTGTGTGTGTTTTCAATTTTTCTAAAAACATTATTTATTTGAAAGGTAGAGAGACTGACAGAGAGTTCTCCCAACTACTGGTTTACTCCCCAAGAGCCCACAAAAGCTAGGGCTGAGCCAGGCTGAAGCCAGGAGCCGGAGACTCAATGCAGGTCTCAAAAATACTTGGGAGGCGGAGAGCCATCACTTTCGCTGCCTCCCTGGGCATGGATTCACAGGAAGCTGGAATCAGGCAGAATCCAGGCACTCTGATATGGCATGTGGGTGTCCCAAGAGGTGTCTTAGCCACCTCTAATGCCTGCCCCAGAGTTCTTACTCAGCTCCTACCGCTTCTCCTCTAGACTGGAGGGGAGCCCTAGAATCCCTGCCCTTGACCATGGTGTCTGTCAACATTGGTGTTCCTAAACACTCCTTCTGCTTTTCTAGTATTCAGAGCTATTGGGGAGTTCTGGACTAACAGAAGTAAACCTACCCCTGCCTGTCCGACTTCAGAGCCTATTGCTGCTCATGTTGGGCAGTGTTGGTAATCTGTTCTGTGGTGACTTTTCAGTATAATGACAGCTGACTTATTGAGCCCTTACTGTGAGCCCTCATTGTGGTAAATGTATTATCTCCTAGGGTCCTGTGGTGACAGATAATGGGAATTTTATCCTGGACTGGAAGTTTGACCGTGCACACAAATGGAGTGAAGTGAACATTGCTATCAAGATGATCCCAGGTAACGTGAGTAGCGTTTACTGGGCAGAGTCACCGTGCCCTTTGTCACTGTCCCTTCATTGGCCACAGAAGGCATGATGGACGTGGGCTTTGAAGGACCTGGTTGGGAAGAAGAACTTGGTTTCTTTTCATGGTGTCCGGGCTTTCCAGCATGGGTTCCTTTGTCTTCTCCCCAGGAATGACTGATGCATAACTAGCAGCTTGGTGCTTGTCTCTTGCAGCCGTGGGGGTTGGGACAGCCCTGGAGCTGATGGAAGGTCAGAGGGCCACCATCTCTGGGCAGAGTCTTGCCTGCCAGGAGCTGACTGAACCTGCGTTGGTTTTTCTGGGCTGTCTTCTTAAGTAGTGGGGAAATTGACTCAGTGTACCTACAGCCATTGGATACGTGCCACGGGCAAGATCCTGTGCCACGGGCAAGATCCTGAGCTCCGTGCTACAGAGGAGGCTCCAAGCAGAAGAACATGGACGGAATCTGTGCTCAGTAAACCTGGGAAAGCTCTGTGTGGCTGTGTGGAGTCCTTGCCTACAGACAAGACGGAGTGGCCTAAATTCTGCTCGGGGAATTCCAAGAGCGCACAGAGCTGCTTCTTTGGGGGAATGTGAGAAACTTTGGTGACGTGGAGGTTTCTGGTGTAGATGTAGGCCTGTGTCTTAGCACAGCGTCACCTAGACAGTGCTGAATGTCTAAGAAAGTTTCACTTTATTCCCACGATGATGAGGCAGCTCTAGAGGAGGACACAGGCTGAGCAACGTTATGCAGTTTAACCAGCGGCTGCAGCACCCGGATGGGAGCCCTTTGTTGTCTGCCCTGGTCCCTGAGCTTTAATCTCTACTTGGTCAAGTGCCAGGCTAAGGAGAGGTTGTGTGACCCGAACGGTGAGAGCAGTGGGGGCCCTCTAACACAGCTTGTGCCTGGGAGTGGTGGGGTGGAGCAGGGGGGCTCAGGGTGAAGGCGGGGTGGGCAGGGTAGAGATGGGTTTTGAAGCCTTAGCCTCAGTGCCCAGAGGAGGAACTGAGGGCGCTCGTACGGGGGATTGGAAGGAGACGAGGCGTGGGAGGCATCAGTCCCTAGGAGTCTAACTGGGAGTTTTCCATGTCAGGGAATATTCTTGAGCCAGAACTGACTTAGGAGGCAGACAGGCCAACTTAGTAGAAAAGGCCAACTTAGTGGCTCAGAGCAGCTGCCTGGGTTCGGATCCTCATCCTGCCACGCTCTAGCACTGTGAACTGAGCAGTTAGTGGACATTTTCTGTGCCTGAGATCCTCCTTGGTAAAAGGGGCTGATACAGGGTTGTCGGGAGGATTGATGTGTTGATTGAATGAACCCTGGGAAGAAAGGACACCATGTCTTCGGCATTAGTTGGGTGTGTGGATTCTCAGTCATCCATGCTAGCTGGGAATGGAGATGGTGTGACTGTGTGCCATGTAATAAAGAGCCGATTCTTCCAACTCTGCTTTAGTTATCTTGTCTTCTGCTGACAGTCTGCTACAAGGTTTTTGAGTCAGAAAGATGAGTTGAACTCTACTCATTCTCTTGCTTAATGCTGCCTTCAATGGAAGAATTAATGAACCGAGAAGGCAGGAGGGAGAGAAGACACAGACACTGCTGTTAGTAAACTAGGGGAATTTGCCTACGATGATAATGCAGACAAATGCGGGGGTCCAGGTGGGAAACGGCTCATCCGTGTCGGTGCTGTTTTTCTCTAAGATAGGTTTCTTGCAGTGTCCACTAGGGGGCTCTGTTGCACCGCTTCAGACTTTTCTTGGCTTATGGAGCCACTGAGGTGTCCCTTGTGGGGGAGTTTTCCTCCTGTTTGTTTTCTACCTAAGACGTAGAAGCTACATGTAGGAACCTGGAGTGAGGAAAATGTAAAAAGAGGTTAGCTGTTAAGTAAGATAATATGGTATCAGCAGGGCCAAAGCTGTTTTGGGTTCTTCCCGCCATGTTCACCTTAGCATCCTCCAACCTTCCACTGAGGTGGGAGAGGCATCAGTCTTTACCAGCAGTTCTTTTTTTAATTAATTAATTTATTTGAAAGAGTTACACAGAGAGGAGGGAGAGAGAGAGCACAATCTGTTGGTTCACTCCCCAGATGGCTGCAATGGCTGGGGTTGGGCCAGGCTGGCGCCAGGAGCCAGGAACTTTTTCCAGGTTCCCCATGTGAGTGCAGGGGCCCAGGCATTTGGGCCATCCTCTGCTGCTTTCCCAGGCATATTAGCAGGGAGCTGGATTGAAAGTAGAGCAGGGGCCAGTGCTGTGGCGTAGTGGGTAAAGCCACCGCCTGCAGTGCCAACATCCCATATGGGTGCCGGCTGAGTCCCAACTACTCCACTTACAATCCAGCTCTCTGCTACGGCCTGGGAAAGCAGTAGAAGATGGCCCAAGTCCTTGGGCCCCTGCACCCACATGGGAGACCCAGAAGAAGCTAATGGCTCCTGGTTTCAGACCGGCCATTGTGGCCATCTGGGAAGTGAACCGGCGGAGGGAAGATCTCTCCCTCCCTCTCTCTCTGCCTCTGCCTATCTGCAGCTCTGCCTTTTAAATTAAAAAAAAGACAAACAAACAAACAAAAAAACTTTAAAAAAAAAGAAAAGAAAAAGAGGAGCAGATGGGAATTGAACCTGTACTCATATGGGATGTTGGCACTGCATCCGGTGGCTTAACCTGCTACAACACAGTACCGGTCCCATCTCTGGTTTGTTTGTTTGTTTGTTTGTTTTTTAAAAAGATTTATGCTTTTATTTGAAAGGTAGAGTTACAGAGAGAGAGAGAGAAAGAGAAATCTTCCATCTGCTGGTTCACTCCCCAAATGGCTGCAATGGCCAGAGCTGGGCAGATCTGAAGCTAGGAGCCAAGAATGTCTTCCAGGTCTCCCACATGGGTGCAGGGGCTCAAGCACTTGGGCCATCTTCTGCTGCTTTCCCAGGCACAGTAGTAGGGAGCTGGCTCAGACATGGAGTAGCCAGGACTGGAACTGGCACTGCAGGTGGCAGCTTAACCCACTACTACTGCGCCGGCCCCTCTGCACTTTCTTTACGGCCTTTTCTCCACATGATCTGACTTTCCTGGATCAGAACGGTTTGAGAAGGGTGGATGTCCAGTGGCTGCTTTGCTTATACTTGGGAGGCCCTGGTTGTGGAGGCCAGTTTGGTGCCAGGGACTCTGTGTTTTGGTGGCTCACTGCTCCTTTTTATTTGTTTATGGTTGGCTAGTTTTTAAATAGTTTTGAAATTATGTAGTTCAAATGAGTAAATAGTGGCAAGTTTCCTTCCCCATTTCCCAACTAACTAGTTAACCATATCTGGAGGCAGCCAATGTTAGAAAAAAGTCGTGTGGCCTTTCAAAAAATCTTATTTATTTAATTATGTGTATATGTACTTATGGATTTTCATAAGAAACAGGGGTGGGGTCAGGAAAGAGAGACAGAGGTCTTCCTTCTGCTGGTTCACTCCCCAAATTATTCACAAGAGCTGGGCTAGGCCAGGCAGAAGCCAGGACCTGGGAAGTTAGTCTGGGTCTTCCAAATGGGTGACAGAGTGAAGTCCTTTAGCCATCACCAGGGTGTGCATGAAGGAAGCGGGGGTTAGAAGTGGAGCTACAGCCCGGGCACTCCACTAAGGGATGTTGGGGTTCCAGGTGCTGCTTCACCTGCAGTTCCATGGCACCCACCACTGCCTTTCCACAGTGACCGCATACTTTAATATGTGTTCTGTCCCTGCCTTTTCTGTCTTGGGGATCATTACATGCTGGCTCACAGAAGAGCTTCCTCGTTCTTTCCTCTTTTAAAAATAACTCTGCTATTCATTTTATGGCTGTATAACAGAACACTTAACTGGATCCCATCCAGTGGACATTTATGTTTCCAGTGCTTTGCTGGAAGGGAATTACTGGATCAGAGGACAAGCAAGCATGTCTGATTTTGCTAGATGGTGCTGGCCTGCCTTCTGTGGGCTGTACTCATTGGTTCTACCACCAGCATATGCAGGTACCTGATTCCCAACAGATCAAGTTTACCAAATGTTTTTTCTCTTAATGTTATCTCATGAGTATGTGTGTGAACATACAAATATTGGTAAAGATCATGCGTGGTTGTACAGCTGTCCCTTGACATCCCTTGAGGCTTGGTTCCAGGATTCTCTGTGGATACCACAATCCGAGGGTGTGCTAGTTCCTTACATAAAATGGGGTACATAACCTGTGCATATCCTCCCGTGTACCTTAAGTCATCTCTGGCTTACTTAGACTACCTAATGCAATATAAATGTTGTGTAAATCACAAATCGCTGTTACACTCTAGTGTTTAGGAAGTAATGACAAAAAGGTCTGTCCCTGTTCAATATGGATAGAATTTTATTTTTTCAAATATCTTTGAGCTGTGCTTAGTCGACTCAGTGAATATGAAATCCAGATGCAGAGAGCTGACTGCGGTTAATTCTCATTGCTGAATAGTGTCCCATCGTCTGTGCGTGTGAGAAATATGTTTGTGTTCCTGATGGGCATTTGACTATTCTGTTTTCAGTTATTGGAAAAGTATGGCTGTGAACATCTTATAGATGTATTTTCATGGCCATATGTATGTCTGACAGTTGTATATCTAGAAGTAAAATTGCTGAGTGGTTAAGCATAATTTGTTCAACTTTACAAGATGGACTAATCAAACATTCTCCACAGTGTTCTTGCCAGTTTACCGTCCATCATCAGCGTGTGAGAACATTTTTGCATCCTAGCCACGTTTCATCATTAAACTCATTTTTGTGTAGTGATAGTTTGTAGACACAATTTGTGACTAATGAATTTGAGCATCTGTTCAGTGTTTATTAGCTATTTGGTTAGGGTGTGTGTGTATGTGTGTGTGTGTGTGTATTGAGAGAGAAATGTCTTACATCAGCTGGCACAGTCCCCAAATGCCTGCAAATGGCTTGACAGGACCAGGCTGAAGCCAGGGGCCAGGAGCTCCATCCGGGTTTCCACGTGGGTGATGGAAATCCAAGTGCTTGGGCCATCTGCTGCTGCCTTCCAGGGTGCATTAGCAAGGAACTGGATTGGAAGTGGAACAGCTGATACTCAAACCAGTGCTCCGGTGTGGGATGCCAGCAATTGCAAGCGTAGTTTAGCCCACTGTGCCACCATCCCAGCCCCTTTTGTGAAACACCTGTTCAGATCTTTTGCCCATTTTTCCGTTAGGTTGTGTGCTATTTTAATACTTTGTGGAGTTGTTTATATATTTTGATGTGGGTCCTTTGTTAGATATCGGCTTGAAAATGTCTCTTTCCACTCTGAAGAAATCCTGCAAGGCCAGTAGTGAAGCTAAAAATAGCTAGGAGTGGGGGCTGCTGGGACTAGTCCTGGAGAGTCTGTCCAGAAGTCAGCCTGTCATCTGTGGTGTTGGAGACGTGGAGAAGTCCTTCCTAGAAGCGCTTGACTGGTTCAGGCAAAGGGAATGCGTCAGCAGAGGCCTCGAGGAGTGACAAAGCTTGGCCTTGGGTACGGAAGGAAAGCCAAAAGAAGGGGGGAGAAAGAGGCGACAAGAAGCTTCACAGACAATCAGAATCTTTTCATTGCTGTGTGGGAGAGGAAGCTTTGGCTGTCATTTGTCCAGTGCTGCCTGTGCCGGTTGCTTCTGGTCACCCCAGGACCCGATCCTCTTGCCTTGGGAAGCTGGCACTCACTGCTTCTTTCCATGCTTTGTCCTTCAGGTGTGGTGGACACAGGCCTGTTCATCAACATGGCGGAGAGAGTCTACTTCGGGATGCAGGATGGCTCCGTGACCGTGCGGGAGAAGCCCTTCTGCTGACCCCACGAGGAGCAGATGTGTTCACCTTGGTCTCCAGCCCACAGCCAGGGTGGCCGTGCCTGTCCAGGAGCCTTTGCCTTAATGTATGGGGGGTGGGGGTGGGGTCTAAGCCCAGTCGTCTGCAGTATTGTTACTATGTGTCTTTTTAAACAGAGAAATTTAAAGATATATATATATATATTTTTACTATGAAAAATATTCAGTTTTTTATAAAGTAGAACTTGATTTCATGTTTTATATGAAACATTTACCAAAAAATAAATAAATAAAAAAGAATAGGGCAAGAAGGGGGAGACTGTCTTTAAAACCTTTGACTTGAGCCTGCTGGGTTTGCTGAGAAATGAATATCAGAGCTTTTTTTGAAGCCGGTCACATGAAGGACCTGGACAGCAGTGATCTCCTGATGCCTTACAGCATGCTTGGTTTACTTTTCTGCCACTCTCTGTGTGTTTTTAGTTCGTTCTCATTGTAATCACGCACAATGCAGTTACTTCTGAAGATGAGGTTTACAAAGTCCGCTGAGTGGAACAGTGTGACGTTTGGTGACTTGGGATTGGAATGTAAACTCCCGGGGCAAATGCGGTGGCACCTTCGCTAAGATCAGGGCTTTGTTCAGACCCCTGTTGTTGGAAGCAGTTGGCCGGAAATACTTGCCAGTGCTGCCAGGGCACTGCTGTGAAATGTGAAATAGTTGTTTTTTTTAAAATCATTTTCTTTTTGTTGTTACTTATTTTTCTGTTGCTTTATTATTACTGGCATGGTTTGGCATCAGATGTCATCACCTCTTTATGTTCTTTGAAGGTTGGAATAAACAGTGTGGTGCCATTTTGACTCTTGGTCTTCTCTACAGAATCGGTTGGGAAATGGGGATCAGTATGGCTGATATTTGATAACGGGTGGAATTCACTGGAGAAATCTTGAGCCGAAGAATACTTCCTTTATTTCTGGGAGAGCTTGCTTCAGTTGCCTAAGGAAATGCTTGTTCCATAGACTTCTAACAGTTGAACAAAGTCAAAATTCTCAGTTTTATATGAATCAAAGCTTCGTTAGTTGTGAAAGCTGATAAGCCACAGAATAGGTAACCTGAAGTTCCTTTGTAGTGCCCCCACCCTGTGAGCTCAGACATCTGCCTGACAAGCAGTGAGCTGCCCAGAAAACAGTGTCACGGGCGCAGCTTGGCGATAGCTCTAGGGCCTCCCTCAGAGGAACCGTTCTGTTGCCAAAGGCTTTCTGCTGAGAGCCTGGCTCCTCTGTGCTAACTTTGCACGATGCTTGCACAGTCATTCCCCCTGTTTTCCGCCTGTTTTGAAGCTTGAACTATTACTAAATTCCTGCTGAATCACGTTGCAGAATAAAAGTTAATCAGGACTGACTGAGCATCAGAGACTTCTTGTTCCTTGCCACATTCCTTGGTTTTTGCACTCCCAATGTGCTCTTCAAAATGTCTCATCCTGTGTTAGGAAACCTGCTGTTAGGAGTGCATTGTTTTTCTTTCAGACTGCCTTTGGTAGGGCAATAATTTTTGCACAAAACAGGTATTAGCTCTTAGTTGAACACTTGGTAGAGCAAGTTTTTTACATAATCCTTTAAAACTTTTGTGGCATGGATTTAATTCAGGGATGAAGATGAAGTTAAACTGGGTTTGTGAAAAACACCTGCATGCTTCATATCACATGTAAATTTTCTGCTGGTTTGTAACATTCACACCTGTGACTCAACAACAAGGTCTGAATCTTAATATGAGGTTTTTCTTCCCTTGAAAACAAACACCTGTGATACTCTAGGCACAAGCAAAACAGTTTGCTCCAGAGACAAAGTTTGCTTCAATAAAATAGTTATTCAATGTGATTCTGCTGGAAATAGGACAGAAAAAACAATTTGCTTGTACCTGAGATCAGTTTTGAGAGACTCAGGACAAGCAGTAAGTTTGGGGAAGCTGCCGCACTTCTGGGAGGCACCTAGGAGAAAAATCACTTGGATTCAAATAAAATTAATCATTTTTGGCTTCGGCTAGTACTTCTTGTAAAGTTCTGACACTTACCAAGTTTCTGAGCTCCCATCATGGACCAATCCCTGGTGGGCACTAGGGAAATGGAAGGGTGGGACACACATGAGCCAGATACTGCCTGTTTCCCAGCTGCTTGCAGCCTGGTGGGCAGGTGGACAGGTGCGCCACGATGGATGAGTGTGGGATGCTTGAGGGGTTGTCAGCACCAAGGGCGGGAGGGTGCCATCAGCAAGGAAAGTGGTTACTGTGACCCTGGTGGCAGCGTGGGCCATCACTGCTGCCTACTGCTACCAAAGCACTTCTAACCGAAGTTAAACAATGGCCAGTTTGTGGTGGAGGCACAGGGCTGAAGAGTTAGTTGCAGACGTAGCCAGTTAGTGAGCAAATGAGCTAGCCTCGGACCCCTGGTTTCCAGGTCGGGGGTTTTATAGACTCTGGGAGGATTCTCATGTTAACTATAAGAGGTGCCACGGATGTCACATTGTGACTTCTTGTGGGAAAATTCCAATGGATTCAGGCAAGTTTCAAAGAAAAGCTAATTTTAGAGGGATCCTTTCAAGAGGCTGACTTATTTCCAGAGAAGAGCTTTGCTTTAATGTAATGTTTTTAATGTGCTGTTTCAGTAGCGTCCACCTTTTGTCTGAAGGTGGTGAGGAGGGGTAACGAAGATCATATCTGAGTGCTGTGTACCAGGTACTGTTCTGGGCCTTTGCCCGTTGTCCCACGCAGCTTTACCTAGCGTCCTCTCGGTTTGCAGGGTTCAGAGAACCAGGCTCGGTTTAAAGTAACTCATCACACACTGGGAAGCAGGCTAGCCTTCTCTGACTCCAGGCCTCCTACCTGCTTCAAGATCAACGTCACACTTAGAATAGTTTGTGTTGCCTAATGTGTCCATCACTTGTAACTTGAGTCACAAGTCATTTGTTAAAGAACTGAGGCTGAGCTGTTCTCTGGAACACAGGGAGGCAGCCTGTCGGGTGTCCCCCGCCTGACAAAAAACCTCCCTTAAAAAAAAAAAAAACAAAGAATTGAGGCTTGTGAATGGTGTGCATCTGTTTGTACAGGCCCATGGCTAATATAATTCTATATTCTGAAGGCCGTTCTTTAATGGGAGAAGAAATAGAACAGTGCGCACGACCTTGGGTGGGCCATGGGAGAGCATCTGTCACTCTGGAGTGAAGCCTGACAAACATCGCTGTTTCTCCTGTCCCATGTGGTTGTCTGCTTTTCCTCCTTTTCTCCCTGCGACAGAGGCACAATGACAACCATAGGCCTCATTAACCTGGAAAGGGATGGTTATGGGTAAGGAGTGTTGGTTCCTTTGTATCCAGAAAGCGTTCAGGAGCACACACATGCTTGAACAGAGTTGGGTTTATTGGCCCATTGAGTGAGAGAATTCACCTGCTGTGCGTAGTGGCTGGTGTCTCAAGGGTGTCACCTTCCTTGGGCTCAAGGAACTGGATGTTGTCGGAAAGCTAGATTGTTCTGTGACTGAGTGTCTTAATTTTTTTTTAAGATTTATTTTTTATTTAATTGAAAGGCAGAGTTATAGAGAGAGGAGGAGGAGAGAGAGAGAGAACGAGCAAGCACGCTTCCATCCACTGGTTCACTCCCCAAATGCCTACAATGGATCTGTCTGGACCAGGCTGAAGCTAGGAGCCTAGTGCTTCCAGGTCTCCCATGTGAGTGCAGGGGCCCAAGCACTTGGGCCGTCTTCCACTGCTTTCCCAGGCTTATTAACAGGGAGCTGGATCAGAAGTGGAGCAGCTGGGTCTCCAACCAGCACCCATATGGGATGCCAATGACACAGGCAGGGGCTTAACCCACTACGCCACAACACCAGCCCTGTCTTGATAATTCTTAGCTAGAAGGTAAGAAGATGGAAGAAGGCTGGAGCTGGCAATGATAAAGCAGCAGCAGGTGCTCCCTAGCCAGGATGGATGTTTGGTCACTTCTGTGACTTGGACAGTGTTCAGGTTTTGTCCGTGTTGAGATGATTCGGTTGTAGCCTTGTTTTCGTCTTCATCCACCGTGGACTCAGATGGCTTTGTCTGATGTCGATGTTCTGTGAAATGGTGTGGGTGGGTGCTGGGCCTGACTGGTAGAGCCAGGCCAGTCCCTGGCTGTCGGGCAGGATCTCTCTTTCTCGGGATCCAGAGGTCCTGGGCATCCCATAATCAGCCCTTCAAGCTCCCCTTGTTTTAATTGTATGTAGCACTCACTGTGCTGGGCAGTGGGGTGGAGGAGTTGGGCTGCAGATACCCTGTGGTGTGGCTCCAGCCCTGAACTCATTGGCACCATGACAGTCACTTCTTGTGACTTCTCAGATGCCTGACTGCTCACTTCCTGTCACACCTAGCAGCTGATGCAGACAGATTTAGGATTGCATCAGCCTTCACTCTCCACTAACCCAGCAATCAGATGGTGTTTTTGACAGAGGTTCAGTGCCTTTGTGTTTTTAGTAACTGGGTTGTGTTGCAGGGCAGCAAAACACTCCAATATAGTCTAGCATTCAAATGTGCCCCAGGCAGCCTCAGAAGGTAAACATCTAGTGGGTCTTTGTGGGGGGGGGGGTGTGATAGTTCCTGAGGGCAGTGAGGTAGAGGCAGAGTTCAGAGGGAAGAAAAGGTCTTCCCTGGCAAGGCAACTCCAGCGTTGTGTGCAGGCGCATGGTGCAGGCCGATGGACAGAATAAATCCGGTGTTGAAACCTGATTCTGCTATCACCGACGACCACCTCTGCTCAGCAGCAAGGTGGGAGAGGAGGAGCTCTGTCCCAGAGAACTGAAGTCTCAGCCCCGTGGAATAAGACCCCTGCCCGTCCCACGGATGACAGCACTCCATTTTGATGGTGTTCCAGAGTTTCAGATCAGAGAGTTGTGCTCACCTTCATCTTACTTCATTAGCTGTCCTCAGCGGAAGGCAAGGCCCGGCTGCAGTCACTGATGGCTTCAGAAGCCTCAGCCCCTGTTCCTCTGTGCCAAGGGTGCTTCTCCTGTCCTTTGTGAACCTTTGAAAAGCACTCACAAAGCGAGAGCCCGCAGCTGTTGGCACCAGCTCAAATACGGTCAAGAACAGCACTCCTTAGAGGAGTGTGAGCCTTATGTGTGATTTTACATGTTCTAGTCACCACACTCAGAAGGTAAAAAGAAACAAGTAAACTTAACTCCAGATAGCTAAAATACTGCTATTTTAACACACAATCAGTATTTTACATTTTTTGGCATTTTCTTGAGAATGCTGTGTGTATTTCACTTGAGATGTCTCGTTGGACCAGCCCCATTCAAGGGCTCAACAGCAACCTGGTGAGTGACTGCAGTACTGGAGGTCACAGAACCAGAATTCAAGGCCAATCCTGGCATGGCCCTTGTTCTGGCTTATTTAAAGCTCCTCTGATTTCTTGGAGTAAGCCTGGGGGTTCTCCTGTGGTCTTAAGGTGTCTTCACAGGTGGGCGCCGCCCACAGCATCCCACAACTACAGAGGTGGCTGCGGCTTGCTCGCTCCCCGGAAGCTGCCCCTTCCCTGGGGTCATGATGGGCAGTAAGATGGCATCTGCCAGCCGGGTCGTTCAGGTAGTCAAACCACATACCCCATTAATAAGGTTCCCTGCCAGAAGAGACAATCCTAAACCCAATGTGTCTGAAGTTTGAGATCAGCTGGACTGCCGTGTCACTCTTCTGCAGTTGCACAGCAGGCTAAGGAAGTAGACCACCGGATTTGCTGATGGATCAGGGGCCACCGGACACTGCCGAAATCATTAAATCATTGCCTCAGAAGTACAGAAGGAAACCTGTACCTCAAGAAGAAATGGAATTTGTCCAAC